GGAAAAGCTCAAGAGTAGCAATTCTTCCATATATTGGCACATCCAACATAGGCTGCATAAGGAAAATCAGAATGATTTATTGGTTCATTTCATCTACACTTTCACAAAACCCTTTGCACATGCTTTAGTACACCAAAAAAAAATCCTATTCACATCAGCAACACAAACAGAGAAAAACCAAGCAGAACATGATGAAGTCTGCTCAGACTCTGAAACAGTGGAATGCTTTAAAAGTGGCAGCTAAAATGGAATAAGTAATTTAAATAGACATGTCAATATGAACAAAGAAAAAACATACGTACCTGTAAGCCCTGTGGAGCAATCAAATGGATTTCGATACGGGTACATTTCCTGGAGGCAAAACAGATAATTAGCATACAGCTTATAGACCGTTACCAACAAGAACTTAGCTGAGTTGGTACCCACTAAGTTCACAAACCTTGATTCTGAGGTCAGTGTCAGGACATACTGGCAATACCCAAGCACTAACTTTTCTTTCCCATTTAAAAACAAATTATACAGCTCAAAGACTGCTTGTTTCTGATATTTGATTAGATTATTGAACTAAACAACGTCACCGCAATCCATTTACTTAGCTCTCTCTATACTCTTGACGAGATATAAGGAAAACCAATATACTTATTATTCTCAAAATTTGCTCTTGAGCTATTTAAACTAAGTATAGAATTTGCATCGCTATTATTAATCCCCAATTTCTTAACCACCATAAAAACGTAGACTTTCCCATGATACTGTGGATAACAAAGAAGCCCTAGCTTCCTTCTCTGGGTTAAACAAAAGAAAAACCCTAAAACCCAGTAATCAGAGGGAAACGGAGATGCGAAACGTACGCAATGATGAGATTGAGCTCTTGAGGGCTGGTGAAATTGCCGACGCAGGAATGGGTGACGTTAGTGGGCTTGTGCGCCGTGACGACGTAGTTCCATATGCTCATTTTTTCCGGATCTCTCTGCCGCAATTCTTGAGCTCAGAAAACGTTGCAACTTTCCGGAAACGCGCGGCGGTAGCAACCAGCAAGCGCACCGTGCAGAGGTAAAGGGACGGACACTATGAGAGTGGTTATCGATGAGCTGCCCGAAGCTTCTTAAATTGAACGTCGCTAGCTTTTCATTTGGCACTGTTGCGTTTTAATCCTTTGAATTTCACATTTTGACTTTTTGTCCCTCTGAGATTTTATTTTATTCATTTCTGACGTTTGCATCGCACAAAATAGAACTTATTCAACATGGTGTTTCATTTTTTAATTTGATTACTAAAGTTACACAAATTTAATACTCTTTTCAAGAACAATTTGAACATTTCAACTAAGAATATTTCAACATTAAACTTTTCTTTGGGAAGTAAAACTTTAAATTGAACATTTCAATTCAATATAAGGTAAAAATGAATAGGGTTGTAATTGGAATTGCAATCCCACAATGTTTTCTCTATATAGTAAGGCATATACACACCTCATTGAAAGTATTAATTTATTATAATTAAATTAATTTTAATAAATATTTTATATGATTAATTAATAATCTTAATGTATAATACTATTTTTAAAATAATTATTAAACAATAACATAGTTTTTGTTGTAGTATAATACTGGAAAAACAACCATCCCTGCACTTTGTAGCAAGACCAAATCAACAAATTTCAACTCCTGTAGCTTTTGGCCTTGTATAAGCTAAAACTTGGGTCAAGCTTATATAATAATAAATATAATGAGGAAACCATAAAGTACAAACATCCCAAAAACCTCGGGCGATCTCAACTTGTTGATACTCCACTGAACCTGAGTAGCATTAGCAGTGGCAACATTAATTGAGCATCCTGATGGAGCATTCCATTCATTTCGCAGCTCTCTAGACATAGAATTTAACGAGTCTAACAGAGCTTGAAGTGACCT